TTCTTTTCTGAAGGCTGAACAAACCCACTTCTCTCAGTCTGTCCTCATAAGCCAGGCTTCCCAGTCCTTGGATCATCTCAGTGGCCCTCCTTTCATCCCTCTCCAGCCTGTCCACATCTATTTTGTATAGCAGGGACAAAACTGAACGCAGTATTCCAGGTGTGACCTGGCAAGTTAAGAGTGGAGTGGGATAATATCTACCTCTGCTGGTAGTCCCCTTGTTGATATAAACCAGCATCCTGTTGGCTTTCTTTGTTACAGCAGCCCACTGTTCACTTGTATTGATCTTATTGTCCACCAGAAGCCCCAGGTCCCTTTCCATGGAGCTGGGTAGATCCCAGCCTGTGCTGCACTCTTAGATTGTGTTTACCCAGGGGCAAGACTTTCTTTCAGATAGGCCATCTCCCAAGTTTGTAGCCAGAGAATCCAACATAGACTATGCCAGTTTGATTTAAAGCCTGGCCAGCATCCTCAGCCAATACTTATCCTGGGGAGGTAAGTGAGATTTTCATTCAAATGGAGGAGTGTGCAAACCAATTTGATCATGTTTTAAACTTTTAACAAAGCATCAAGATTTTTTCCACTAATCTTATAATTTATGTTATAAAAAATTGTATCAAATTTAACTAGGAATCCTATTTTGTCTGCATCTTGTTCATGAGGAAATATGTGTCAATTTGGTGTGAATATGTTTTGTGCAGTTTCCCCCTTCTGTTTAGACAGAGCTCCTATTTATCCTGTTTAAGTCACCCACATGCAATATGTGCAATATGTGTTCTCAAGATCACTCACTTGGTATTCTTTACATGTCTAGAAAGTCTCTATGTGAGTTTACTCTGGCATTTAGGAAGACAAATCTTATTCAGTAGCTTACCTGCAAAGCCATACGCTGACAAGTGCAGACTCAACATTTTAGTGATCTCTAAGGTCTGGGACTCACTTCTCCTTAATGGATATCTTGACTTTTTCTGACCACATGAAAAAAAAATGTCCTCTCTTTTTTAACTGTATCCTAGCAGGTCTGCAGAATATCTCTCTAGAAGTCCACTTATTATATGATTATATTAAATTATGCCAACTTAATTAAGAAATATGGGTTATGCTGTCACCCTGTCTACCCTTGTGTTAATCATCCTGTGGGCTTCTCTGTGGGTCCATGCATAAATCTCTAAATTCCCTTTAAGTGGGGGCAAAGTTAATTAGGTAATGTAAATTGGGATAGAAGAGACAAATTAATGACAGTCTTGAGGAAAAGAAGCAGAATCTTTGTACTTTTTATTTGACAACCGACAGCTGAACATGTTCATCTGACTTGTGACTTAGCATAGCACTTTGATCTCTTCTCCAGGGTGGGGACCATCACAGGTTCTGTGGGGTGAGTTCACACATGTTCTATAGGGAAGGTTAGGAAGAAAAAAAAGAGAAAATTTGCAAGTGGCCAGGCTTCACCATTTTAATGTGGTACATAACTTGTGATGAGTTATATAATCCTTGGTCTGCTAATGGCAATTTAGCCTGTGTTTTATGTAACAGTGACTCATCTCAGGTGGACTGTTGTGTGCTTTAGCAGCCTTTCTTGGTGATGGTGGAATTTGATAATTTTAAATTTTGGGGCCATGTGAAAATTAGTCTGCTTTCAAATCTGTCTTTCCTCTGAAAAAATGAAGATATAAACAAGTATCCCAAGCATTCTAGTTAGTCTTAACATTATGAGTGATTTCTTCTAACCTTAAAGTTTAACAGCTTTGAGTACATTTAGAAGTTTGCGATATATTGCACAGGGTTTACATTCCCGCTTACTTCTTCATCATATAGATGTGTGGCACTATCCTATCCAGGATCCAGACAAAATTGTCTATCAGTTTCTTTATCATCTGAAAATAAAACAGGACATTCTTACATTACAGTGTTTACTACACTGTAATACACTGTCAATTAGTGGCATTTTGATTGAATCATACATTTTTTTTGCTTTTCCATACAAAAAATAACACAGACACTTTAGACATGTCTGCACCCTTTTTGAGCACTCTCCAGATTTTCTGACCCAATGTGGATTAAAGATTACTCACTATGTTATGCAATTGCTTTTCTGTTCAAGTGGGTCTGCTGCGTGCTAAACTGCTTTGTGAAAGCTGTGGATATCCGTACTTTCAGTATCACACTTTCACTGAAATAATGATAATTTCTGGAAATGTTGCTCTTGACAATAAGGGGCATTTGAAAAGTGAAAATTAAATCCTTGGTTGATTTCAGTACATTAAATTAGTATTTCATAATGTTTCCTCTAAAAAATAACAAGGTACGCTATTTTATCAGCGTTCTCCAATGAAATGCAGTCCAGCAAGAGCTCAAGTAGAATGAAGGTTGAACATTAAAGGAGTGGGGTCATGTTATTTTATAGAAAAGAAAAAAACAAAAACAAATGCCAGAGCAGAAAGCACAGAAACATGTACTTGTTGCCTCTTACAAGTGCATCAGCACTCCAGAGGTAGCAAACAGGAGCACTGAATAAGAAGAGCAAGAAAGTACCACGTCCCATAAGGAAGCACAGAAGAGATTTTAAGGATCATCCTGTTTTCATGATTTTGTCAATCTGCACTTCGACAGTTAATAACTGTGTTGTAGTAATTGCCTGGGAATTTGAAGCGCTGATGAATTCTAGGTGCATTTGTGTCATATGCTGAGCATTAAGAGTGTTTGTCACTGACAGATGCTTATAATTCTAAAAAAGAACTAGCTCTTCTCTATCTAGCTTATTTACAGGTAGAAACAATATAGCATATTTGTTCCTTGTCCAGTGCTGCTGCTACATGTAAACCTTTACCTCTCCAGGTCCCTTTCCTTTCCTCTTCTGTCCCTTCATAATTTCCAGTTGTGGGAATTAGACTACATCAGTAAAACATGGGTTTTCATATTGATTTTAAATACAGTTTCTGTGTATAATTTGATTGCTCAAAAAACAAACTCATTTCTAAGAAATCCTTTGTTTGCTTTTTGGCTAAACAACCTGAGTAACAGATAGAGTGGGAAGGCATGAGGACGGCTGACAATTCACTTGAGGCTTTAGGCTCTTCCACCTTTGCAGAAGTCAGTCAGATGATTAACACAGTATTCCTTGCTCTAGACAGCTGTGCCTCTTTTAAGTGTCAAAACAGAAGAGAAAATGGAGTAGCTATACACAAAAAGTAAAAATATTCATTATAAAAGGGAAGAAAGTAACAGATTTTACTGAGGAACAGGCAAGCAAGGTGCAACACAGTAGATAATACCATTTCACAGAATTTGAAGACAGCATAATTTTTCTGAAGTGAGGTAGCATGCATATTCATACTATGGCTGCATAAGTGAGAGACAAAAGGAAAAGATGGATATGGCTTATCTTCTGCTGAAGCCTTTGTGTAGCTGTCTAAATCATCAAGCAATCCTGATGAGAAATAATAGTCATGGGCATTTCCTGATGTCTGCATGAGCCAATGAAAGCATGAAGTACTAAACCCAGGTGGTCATTAATTCTCCTGTTAATGCCCTGGGCTGATTCATGATATCTACAACAGCCAATTGGATTTGGCTTCATTGGGCAATTAAAGCCTCTGAGTTCCTCCAATGGTGCTACGTTTCTTTCAATTTGATGTGAGAATCAGGCATACATACTTTCCAACCAGGGTGGGACTGTGGTTTCACCTGAAACAATACCTTATTCCAACCACTCCTGCAAAGGTGTTAAAAGTACAGTCTTCTTCCATAGGATCTGTAAAAATCCACTTTTGTATTTCCACTAAAAGGAATAAAAGAGATGGTAATAAAAAGTTACACAGATATTTAAGCATTATGATAATTTTGAATACTGGGGAGTTTTGTTTTGTCCTTACATACTCTTTGGCTGTACATACTACTTTTTTATTAGGTTCTTCCAAAACCTGCAAAAACGTTATTGTCTTGTGGACAGTATATAGATTATGAGAATGATGGTATAGCAGCTCAAACACAAATGATATTTCTTTGTTTATCAGAAAGCCTTTTTCTGTTCAAATTTTCATGGACTTGAAATCTGTTGTTAAATGCATCATTATGCTTAAATATCATCGAAATAGCACCAAAGCAATGGTAATATCTGCTGAAAGCTGCAACTTGTAACTCATCACAATAAATTTACTGTAGGAAAATACAGGTGAATTAAAAACACAGACATTTTTGTTTTCAGAAAATTTCTTTTCAGCTTGATTGCTGCCATATACTAGATATTGTGACTGAAAAGTCTTACGTTTTCTTTATCAATGTGGTCCCCTGGAGAGATGTAACTCCATATCCTCAGTGTTACAGATGCTGCTCTTAAGCTCAACAGCCCTTCAAGCCTACTTGTATTTTCAAGGCTGTATTTTTTGGAAACCATTTCAAGTGGCAGGTTTCCGTGCTGAAGTGAAGGAACCTCTCTTTGCCTTCCTCGCTTCTGCCCTACAGTGCGTCATCCTAGAACCTTGTCCATACGTCATCCGTGGTGAGGGTGAGGTTGCCACAGCAACGGCACACACTTGGTCACACACACCCCGTCCCCCGATAGCTACAGAAGTGTGAGTCAGTTTTAAAGTTTTACAAGGTTTTCATTTGACTGCAATGCACTGCCCAGCCATCTGCAGTTGTACGTTCTGCACTCACAGATCTGCTGGTAGCCCTTCATGGGGTTGCTTTTGGTGTTTTTACCTCCATCCTTCGGGATGAAATCTCTGCAGATCAATCCTGGGCAGTCGATCACCAGCCCAACCCGCACTTGTAGAAACCCTCTGGTTCATCGGCCATCCCACTGACACACCAGGCAGCTGGGCTATAACTAAGTTGATATTTACTTTTCAAAGAATGCGTAAAGCAGGGGTAGAGAGTAAACTGCAGAAGAATAAAACTGGAATTACCTATGATGCATTGTATAACCTGATCTTTCTGTTAAAAGCAGTCACTTAAGTTTCCAGTAGTACCTAACTTACAACTCTGCTCATTTTTTTCAGACATGGAGATGACTTGATTGTGACACCATTTGCCCAGGTAGGCACAATTCTGCCATATTTCTCATATAATCTTGTAATTCAAAAGACAAATACATTGTTTTCCATTGTTAATATTACATAACATGTTTGCTTGAAATAGGTAAAAATCTGTCTAAGCAGAAGCCATAAACCTCCCACTCTTGTTATCTCTTGCTTAATGCTTTTTAATTATCTGAAATGTTGAAGTGCAACAACAAAATAAACACCTCTGATACCTTTTCAAATGCTGTAGCAGACAGCCATGATGAATCACAGAATCATAGAATCATAGAATCTGTGTTCTCTGTTATTCCCCTAGTTTTTGTAATTACAAGTTCTCTTTTTGAACATCTTTTATGCATTCAATGCAACATAATTTTTAGATGCAAGATAAATTTTACCCAGAATAGGGTTATATACTATATATATAACCCAGAATACTTACACTGCTTTGCAAAACCATCTCTGTTTGATTTTTACATTCAGATTCTGTTTTATAACATATCCGTTCAAAATTCTACATAATTTAGATCAAAACTCCACAATTTTTAGCAATACAGCTGTCTTACTGTGTATGAAAAGTTAAAATTCCTGAACTCATAATAGTGAGTTTTAACCTGTAATAGGAATGAAAGTTAATATATTGTAACTACAGGGGTAAAAATAAATCTGGAAATTGTATGTGATTGAACATAAATGGAAAGAGAAAGTTTGGGTCACAAAGCAGTCTTAACTGTTAAAAAGGTATCCAACTTCAGTCTGAATATGCAGGTTGATTTAGTCTAGTGAAAAGTTGTTAAAATTATTAACATTAATTTAATAGTTTATATTTAATTATATTTTAAACACATACCCTTTATAAAACTCTATGATCAAACCCTTAATATGAAGAATACCTTCATCATATATGAACAGAGTAAATATTAAGCCAGAGCCTTTTCTAAGAATACTTTAAGATCTCTCAAACGGTAACCATACTTTAACAGTTATGGAAATGAATAAATTACAGAAAAAGCAAGTAAAAAAGTAAAATAAAACCATTTCTGGTTTTAGTTCCTCAGAAAACATAATAACCCTAAATCTTGAGCACAGAAAAAAACACAAATAGTATAGTGGTCAAGCAATCCAATAATATCTACTATAGATGAGTTCATATTCATTGTCATCTGAATTTTTATTACTGATTATGCCACATAGATAGGGTAGGTTATAGGATGCCTAGAAAACCAGCAAATATTACACTCCCATTTATTTTTTTTTTCCCTGGGACAATACACCCTATTTGTTTCAAGGGCAGTTTCATATTCTTATTGGTGTTGATGGATGTGCTTCAGCAATTATAGCAGGAGCACCTGAATGTTACTGCTATTTGCACCCAAGTGCCATAACTGATTATTTGAGAGCTTTTAGTATTTCAGTGCAAAGCCCTGCTAGCACTGTTTTAAATGAACCTGTTTTCATTTGTATTGAACAGGAGAAAGAGCACTCAGAGGGTGGGTTATCCCATGTCACATTCCCTGACAGGAGGAGTTGAGATGCAGTTGAGAGACTGCCCAATAGAGGGGAAATGACAGCTGACTGACTCTTAGGAAAAACGTAGCCCTTCCCTTAAAGTTACTTGAATATGCAATATCCTATCTCCCAGTGGGGCCTGCTCACAGACTGCATATGCAGCTAAGCACAGGACCCATCCCTTTGACTTATGTTTACCAGTGTTACGATCTCAGTCAGAACTTCAGAAACTGGATCCCATGTGCCAGTCTCTAAGCATCTTACAAACTACACTTTTAATATCTTCCTAGAGCAATACTTCACCATGAAGATGCATTTTTATGTTGTAAGCAGCAAAAGTGCTGTTTTAATCTGTTTAGGGCTTCCTGGTGGCAGTAAATCATGACACGCAGAACACAGGTTCCAGTTACTTCAAACCATCTGTATTTACTTCAATCGATCAGGAGAATTGTTTCATCTGATCATGAGCCCCCTGGTGGTAATAGTTCCAGTTTTAGCTTTTTTTCTAGTCAGTGTGGCTGCATTTGAAAACTGGAGGCAGGCTGGCATGATGTGTCCCCCACATAGAATCCAGCCTGAGGACTAAGTTACTTTGTTATTTTTACCAGAAAGGGAATTTTATAAGCTGAAATTAAAAAAATCTATCACAAGGATATTATTAGTTGCACTTCCCTAGATTGTAATAACACAGCAACTGCTGTAATTTAATTACTCATAGAATTTAGCTTTTCAAAATAAAATCATTTGGGTGATTTAAAATTTAAAGATGAATTCTCTAGGTTTTTATCATTAAAAAGGTTTGATTTTTTAATTCACTTTCAATTATTTGTATATAATGATTTTGAGAATAATATTATTTACTTAGAAATTAAACCTGTAGTGGTTTGCAGGTGACTGGTTGCTTTTTGCTCACAAATCGTAACTCGAGAAACGTCAAGCACAAGTAAAACCTCTGTGAACAGAGAAACTTACGTAAAGCAAATGATAATGAAAAATTGAAATATTATGTACTTATAGTATAGTAGCTTTATAAATTTTAATATCTGTATGCAATAAATCAAGTGGTTTAGCTCCACTGTAGCCAATGGCCTAAGTTTTTGTTGCCGCAATGATATGCATGTGGGGATGCCTTACACTTGCAGAACTGTGAAAATATATGCATGAATGCTAAAGCAGCTGGAATGCTGAGCAGATACTAGACATTTCACCCTTGAACTTACAGTTATCTCACCTGCCAGAAGAACAAATCGAAGGACATACACACCAAACAGTTGAATCTCTGCTTTCTGAAAAAGGAGAGATTCATAATACCTCAGACAGGGGAAAAATCTGTTCAATGTGCATAGTAGCGGGCGGGCTAAAGAGACTGCCCCTTAGCTCTTCAGGGACCAAAGCATGGGTCCAGCAAAGCTCATTAACCTCCACTCATAGGTGGCCCTGAACAACCTTACAGCTCTGCACCCTTCTTGCCCCAGCACCTCACATACTAAGTGTCCTGTGATTTCAGATCCAGCACATACCTCAGGGTTCATATTTTCAGGTGGCATTGTACCTAGCTGGCTACCCTTTCTGAAACAGCCCTGTACAGCATGTGCTGAGTTGTTCATTCCAGAGTCCAGCAGAAGCAGAGCTAATAGGCATGGCTGTACCTGAGATCACTCACCAAGGAGTCAGTTAGTTACCTTCATACATGTTCCCAGTTTTCAATGCACCTGAAAAAAATATACAGCAAATTTGAGTACAACAGGGCTTACTGAGTAGGAACTTGCAGCCAGGAAAACCAACTGCATATTTTCATGGCCTGAGACTGTTCTGGGAGCCACATAGATATGTTTCTCTCATAATACTAGCACAGCAAGCCATCTCATCATTCTGCTACATGTAAACTGAATCCAGGCAGATTGACCAAAGATAACTGAAAATGGACTGCAGTAACTAAAAATGTGTGTCTTACCTTAATAGGCCCAGCTTTCCAACTTTATTCCATTTATGCTTTCCTTCCTCCTTCAATTCATCCTGTCCTTTTACTTCATACTTTCCATACTGCAGCAGTTTTGCTTTGTATTTTGTGCATTAATTTTTGAACTTTTGAACTCCAGGATCTTCTTTCCCCTTCTGATCAGTTCATCCCTGATTTCCATCTGTGTATATTGAACACCTAAATACAACATTTAGTAGTGTCAGTGTATCCTGGACATTCAAATTTGATGGCATATATAATTATTTTTATTTCATGGTGAATGAGAAATATGTGAGCTTACCTCCTGATATTTGGAAAGAAAAACATAATGAAATTAATAGTCTAATTATGCAACAAATGTATTTTGATTATCTTAAGTCATTTGAGAACTACCTACAGTAGCTTGAACACTTCCAGTCACTATTATCTCCTGAATATTTTCTGTCTGTTACAAGCTTTCACTAAATACTTCTTTTCTTTTCAGCCCCCTGCTTCCTTCCTACCTCATGTGTAAACTTAAGCAGCTATGGAAAGATGGTTGTATCCTCCTCAACTCCTAGCTCTGGAACCCAAATTCCCATTTCCACCTTTGCTATTCCTACAGTGGGTTCACCAGGGAACCAGCCTAGTTTCGGCTGAGAAACAACAATGAGCAACTCCCGCAAAGGCACATCATTAAAGAGTGTTGCTGCTTCCTTCCATTCCCAGTCTGGTTCCAGACAACTTGTGGTTCCTCTCTGACATAAGCTGAACTACCTCTCCCTAGTTGGAGAGGTGCATCTTACTATCCTTACATGGCACAAAATTTGTTGCATTTATCCAGCTAGCTTCAGAAGAGAGTGCCTATGCCACTTACAATGAGAAGACAGTCATCTGCTGCTTCCACTAGGTGCTGTCTTGGATGAAATTAAGCCCAGAAAAGAAGTAGCTCATTTATACTACCTTTCCAGTGTGCAAAGTTTGTAAAAGCTTGTAGGCTTTTGTGCCTGCTCAGATGCTACCTTCCTCTTAACTCTGGTCTTCTGACTAAGTACCCAAATCAACTGCACCATTTAAAGGAGCAGTTTTTATTTTTCCTGGCAGTCTAGACAATCTTATTCCTTTGTCCTTTAAGGTCTGTGTGGGCTGAACTGCAAATGGAGATTTTGTAATCATTTCTTATGCATGAAGTAGTAGTCTTGAATGGGCTATTATTTTCCCAACATGAATGCTTTTATGGTAATTTTAAAGAACTAAGTAGTATTCTGTGAAAAACTTTCCTCCTCTTCAAGTAAGCTTGCCTTTACATAAAATTATGAGTTGTTCATGGGGGAAAAAGAAATAAAATACTGCCCTTGTATTAAAGACCTGTTATTGTTAAGTAATGATCAAAGACTTCGGACAAATCAGTTCTGAAAACAATTTACAGTTTTTTTTGCAATGTCCTTTCCTTTTATTTTCAGCACAGCTCAGCAGAGGTATGTCAGTCTCACCTATGCATAAACTGTAGACTGAAACTGGTTTGTTTGTTCCAGGTGCTGGCCAGCCTGCGTACCGTACGGAATAACTTTGCTGCATTAACCAATTTACAAGATCGGGCACCTAGCAAGTGAGTGTCTATTCTTGGCCACTGAACTTTTTGCAGTGATACTGTTTGAATGTAAACTAAGAATAACAACTTGATGTTAGGGATTTCAGTCTGTGCCACCAAACCTGCATAAAACATGTGGATGAGTAAAATTTATTAATCTCTTGATAGCTGAGACAATAGCCCCCTTGCCTACTAATTGCTCTTGCATTGCTGTCCTTGCATAAACTTGCAAGTGGTTTTGTGCAATTTGCATGATTTTCAATAAATTAGTCATATGTCAAAGATCATTCAAAGATGATCATTCGGACAGAGTCTGAGTCTTGCAAATGAACCAAAGTGAGCAGACAACTACACTCATTGTGAGCTACTTGCATGATCTGAACCTAGAGCTCTGCCTAATTTGTCCAAAATAATGACATTCCACTATTCACAGTGGTTCATGATTATAAATGAGATGTTATAAATACGCTCTTTCTCCAAGGATGTTACAGAATCACACTTAACATTAACATTAGTTACACTGTTAAATTTTGTAGTGTAGTCATTTACCTCACCCAAAATGTGCGCCTCTGGAACTTAGAAGTATTTAGCATTCCAAAATCAACTTCCCACCATTGCATATGCAGTGCCCCTAAAAGATATTTCCAGCCCCTTTGGCTGGAGTACGCAGACCCTATGTAGACCCTGCTTGCAGTCATCCACACATCCCTACACAGCTGTGTCAGTCCAGCAACTTTTAGCTTTCTTCAGTGAGCAAAGCACTCCACTGAGCTGTTTGCCCTAAAGATTGTTGTGACAGGTATGTGCAAAATAACATGTGAAATGTATATGCAAAATAATAAAATGAAAAATAATAATAGGAAAGGCATTTCAAGAAAGAGAATGTGGCAAGTGCAAGCCATGTTAGAATAATGATAACTATCTATGTAAATCAAACTTAAAGTTAAGTATAAACTCTAAGTATGATAAAGTAGGTTTTTTAACTTGTAAATTCCTAAAATACTGCTGAGAACTTTTTTTCCCTTTTTTTTCAATGCCAGGGTATTCCAGTCCCAAATAATTTCCCAAGGAAATGTATTTTCTATTATATTCTTCAAGGATTCAGTCATCTCTGTGTTTATCAGGCATATACCCTTTTTTTCTTTTAAACAGACGTTCACCAATGTGTAACCAGCCATCTATTAACAAAGCAAGCTTGACAGGTAAGAATTAGTATGACTAAAATTCCTCTGTGAAACCATCATGGGTTTCTAAATTTAATATTTACTTATAAAAAATCTTACTGAAAACTGTATTTTGTAATACTAACCTTATGTTATTTCATACCCTTGTATCTGTTTTTTCAAATAAGATTTTAGTCATGGTGACTTTCGACATTGCATCATATTAATTTTCTGATTTCTGTCTTATTATGCTTGTTTTAATTTAGATCCTTTCCAAATTCTTTTTCCTTATATACCAGTATGTGACTGTGTCATGATTACCTTCATTAGTAAGTTTTTGTAATGAAATGTAGTAGAAATAACTGGCATGAGGAATTAATTGATCTTTCTTTTGGGTCATACAGTCCTGTAGCTATATTGAGGCAAAGTCTTGTATTATGAGCCCTTAGGCAATAAGGAAAAATTTCCTGAACTGACTTTTCTGATTTAGGATTGTGAATTTTATCTCTGTAACATTTGTAGATGTGTAAGAGACAAATAATTCCTTTGTAAAAGACACTATTATTTATAAAGAAAAAAATTGGAAACAGGACTGGCTTTGTAGGTTATGTTAACACTTCTGAAAGTGTAAACGTAACCTACATAGCCTGTGGCACTTCTGGTTATTATTATGAAGATCTTGGAAATCTGCATGAGAATACACTTTTTTTGACCTCATATTTTTCACATCCTGTTAATCCATGCATTAATACACTATGTAGTGTTCCAGGTAGTTACATTCTCTATGTTGGCAGAGTGAAAGAGCATTTGCTTTGACCCTTGCTGAAAGTATATAGATATTGACTAAAAAGGCAACATCATTTAAACCAAAAACTTAATGTTTCCAGAATTTTGAAATAGTTCTTATCTTTCTAACTGTATAATAGAAGAAAGAAATAGTACTTCAGCTGTTTTGAGGAAAAATGTGGCTTTGTCATGTTCAGTATTTTTTGTCTTTAGGCTCTGGAATGTTAACATTGTTAGTTTTTGTTGTTGGGTTGTTAGGTTTGTTGTTTTTTTTTTTTCATCTAGATTCATACAATATCCATATTTTCTTCTAGAAGACTCCATCTTGGCAGTTCTGTACAATTTTATTCTCCTAGAAACCCATCATGTAATCTGAGCATTTTTGTGTAGGGCTCATCAGGGAACAGAAAATTAAATCTTTAAATCTGTTCTATAAACAGAAAAACATCCTTAGTTAAGAATGTTCTGCAATCATACTTAAATTCATGGTAATTAAATAAATAGGAACGTGAGACAGATAAATACTTAGATCAATTAAAATCATAATCCTTTGTTAATGTATTCCTTTAACAGGTAATTTCGAGCGTTAGTTTCAAATTGCTTTACATGAGACATTTCAGTTATTGATAGATGTTATGCCTATTTCTTCTAATCATGGTATTTGTCTCATACAACACAGTAATTCAGAAGTATGTTACCTTAACTGGAAATAGAGATACTGGAAAATACAGCTCTTTCTTCGACTCCAGGGGACTAACTTTGGAAAGCCTATAACACAGTAAAATCCCCAACAGTAAAAGAAAATGTGATATCCAGGAGAGAAGATATGCATGCATGTGAACACACAGCTAGCCTACCTTACATGCTTTCCCACAGTTGTTTGCCTGAGTTCAGCTTCTTCTCTCCAGCCAGAGAAGCTTCTCAGGCAGCGGGACCCAAGAAACACTCTGCTGGAAGACGCTGCTGCTCTCTTTAAATTCCCCCTGATCTGAAGGTTTCAGTTAATTCTCAGAGTGCACTCTATCTGTTAGAAGCAATAAATCATCTGAAATTTTAGTTTAGAAGAAAGGTGGTGCCGCCAGTGCTGTGATTAATCTTGAAAATGTTTCTGTGCCAAGAAATTTAAAGGAAGCTAGAGAAGACAAATAATAGTAAAGATAATTCAATTTAATGTAGTTTAATCTGATTTCTCAGAGATACTGCTGGAATAGCTGTGCTCAAATTGTCCATTGAACTGGTTGAGCTGAGGCCTGTGTGCATTGGATATAAGTGGCTAAAAGACTTTAATGATACAAAAAAGATATTAAGCCCTATAAAGCATGAAAATGGCTACAATTCATTTTGATAGTTGAGATTGAGGCTAGATACTATTTTGTCTGAAGAGCATTGGCCATTCTTAGTAATAGACTGTTTCTGATATTTTCATAGCAACAAATTTCATGGCATAAGCACAGAAGTATGAGGCTTTTTCTGATGCATGTAAAAACCTAGTAAAACATGTTGCACTCCAGCACTGTGTTAAGAAGGAAGAGGTATTACTAATATTTCCCCTCCTCTTGACATAATGACTGAAAACACTTACAGGTGCAACTAAGCTTTCTGCATTCTGGGGGATGTTTGAAATGTAGCTTGTGCAGATCCTTCCTGCTGAGAAATCCTCCTGGTCGTGCTGTTCATGTCACGGAATATCTGGAACAGTACACCAGACAGGTAGAGCTCTATCACATTATCCAGATGGCTCAGCTAGCGATCTCTGGGAGAACTGATCACCATTGTAACAAACTGTGTAACAACAGAAACGTGTTTCGGAAGACTCTAAATGGGGAAAGTGAGGATCACAGAAAGCAAAAATGTAGCAAAAGGGAACTTCTGCAGAAGACGGGGAAAGTCATAAGGGAAAATAAGGGGTTTGGTAAAGCTAAGTGACTAAAGCAGCAAGAGCAAAATTCTTCCATTTACTATTTTAAGAATTTGCCCTGAGACATAAAGGAGAAAATCCATTAGCAAACAAGTAAGAAATTGTGGAATTGAGAAGTAAAGCAGTATCGGAATTAAATGTTCAAATTCTTAGAAGCAATGGCAACCATGGTGTCCTTAAAATTCACAGTGATTTTTCAAATAAGTATGTAGATATTGATGATCAGAATATGGTCTGTTATATTCAGTATATCCACATAAATCTCTTCTGGAAACTGCGTGGAAAAAAGCCAATGATTATCAATGGCATACTTGATCTTCAGTATCAGCCATGTATGCTATAGCATGCTGAGTGTTCTTTTGCAGACAAATTAGATAGGAAGTCAGAGCATTTAATGTAACAACAGACTAGATGATACTTTTCCTACTTGCTTTAGACATCTAAGATATCTATTTTCTCTATAGTCAGAGTGAATAAGCTGACATAATGTATGTTAGATGTTTTCTTTTGAGGGAGATTAATTGCTCCCTGAAGGTGCCATGACTGAATCCAACCTGCGAGAACTCCCTGCTTACACTGCACAGTACTTCCATGCGTGGTGGTCTGTATTTCAATCAGAAGAGAGGTTCCTCTCACAACAAGGCATACTTTCCACACAGTGATATGAATGATGTTTTATTTCAAGTTGATAATAATTTTCTTTAAATAAGTGAATTATAAATAATATAATTATAAATAAATTAAAAAAAAATGAAACTGTGACATAGGGATTAAGGTAAAAAAAAAGTAAACAAGCTTTTTTACTAAAAGATTAGATATCTTTCAGTTATTACAGTTCTAATATCTGCATTTCTAACTCAGAATAATTTGAACTAAGAAGGAACCATATAGTCTTTCTTGATATGTGTCAGATTTAAAACTGATAGATGTCCCAATTTCTTTTATTCTTTACTGTGGCTTGGATTCTGCCAGAGCATAGGAGGGGATAAAGTAAACATGAGAACATGAGCTGACAAAAAAAAAATGCATGTGCATTACAGATGTTAATTCATGTAATACTGGGGTAATTGCCACTAGCTTGGGAGGGGGTATATGGGATTAAGGGGATCCTAATGCCTACAAAACCACAAGCTTAAAAATAAAAAATATTTTAACTTTTAACAAAAGTAAACTTATAATGCACTATCAGTGTCACAAAGTGCTAAAGACCTTAGATTTTTTCAGCAGCCCTTGTCTAGTGGGCAGGTCCCAGAGGACTGGGAGTTGGCCAGTGTGACACCTCCCTACAAAAAGGGGAGGAAGGAAGACCCCAGAAACTACAAGCCTATCAGCCTGAGCTCAGTGGCAAGGAATGGAGCAGATGATCCTAAGAGTGTTCACACAGCGCATGAAGGAAAACAGGGGGATCAGGCCCGGTCAGCATGGGTTCATGAAGGGCAGGTCCTGCTTAACCAACCTGGTCTTCTGCAATAACGTGACCCGTCTGGCTGATGAGGGAAAGGCTGTGGACATTGTCTTATTTGGACTTAAGTAAAGCATTTGACACTGTCTCCTACAGCAGTGGAGAAACTGGCTGCTCGTGGCCTGGATATATGGATTCTTCACCAGCTGGATGGTTGAGTCCAAAGAGTGGTGGTAAATGTTGTCATACTGAGTTGGTGACCGGTCACTAGTGGTGTCCCTCAGGGCTCGATGTCAGGACCAGTGTTACTTAATATCTTTAGTGATGATGTGGATGAGGGGATTGAGAGCACCATCAGTAAATTTGCAGACGACACCAAGTTGGGTGGGAGTGTTGATCTGCTGAAGGGCAGGGAGGCTATGCAGAGGGATCTGGACAGGCTGGGTTGGTGGACTGTGGCCAGGCTCAAGGGGGACCTTAATTACTCTCTACAACTACCTGAAAGGAGGTTGCAGCAAGGTGGGGTTCAGTCTCTTCTCACAAGTAACAAGTGATAGGACAAGAGGAAACAGACTCAAACTGCACCAGGGGAGGTTTTGACTGGATATTAGGAAAAATTTCTTCACTGAGAGGGTGGTCAGGCATTGGAACAGGCTGCCCAGGGAATGGTGGAATCACTGTTCATGGAAGTGTTAAAAATCATGTAGATGAGGCCCTTAGTGTCATGGTTTAGTGGTGGACTTGGCAGTCCTGGGGTAAAGGTTGGACTTAATGATCTTGAAGGCCTTTTCCAACCTTATGATTATGTGATTTCATATCCAGATTTAGGCAGATGTACAAAACTTGCTCTATTAAAGATGTAATTGCAGTATACATGTCACTACTCTAGATTTAGTCAGCAGGATTACATTTATAATGAGAACTTCCCACTCT